GAACCATTGTGTATTTAACTTGAATTTTGCTATAATAGGCTCCATTCTTAACTATGGGTTGTCTGTAAGCTGGGCATTCTAAACCCTGGGGACTACCTGTAAAGACAATTTTCATAAGATTTATTTGTACATCACATCTGCTATATTCTAGCTACTGGCATGTTACCTAGCATATTGGATGACTCAATCATGCTTGTGTCCAGGTCAGTCCAATAAAGTCTTTGATCCTCATAATCAATTGTAAGATCGTTGGCACGTCCCACCTTATCCACCAGCATGATACTGTTTGTTCCATCCATATATGCTCGAACTATTTTGGGTTTGCCTCCCCACTCTGTCCAGTACATATATCTGTAATCAGTGAAACAAAAATCAGAATAATGATTCAATACATAATTTATATCAAAGCAATGTGCTTGGCTTGTATGTTGCCTTATGAGTTCTCAGAAAGGAAAAAAAATTCTAATGTTTCAAAATAATCTATTTTAGATATTTATAAGGAATAAACAACTGTAAGAACCTTTCCCCCTTTACTATTCTAAATATTTTTGACAATGCTTACCTTTCTATGAACATCTCAGAATACATATAGATTCCTATGAGCTTGTTATTGAATGGTAATTATTCAGCATAAAATATTGGTTGTCAGTCTGGTCCCAGCTATATCATACAAGTGTAGTATTGTGTAGGATCATTCAAGATTTTTATTTACATAGGACTCATCGGACAAAAAAAAAATCAAAAGCATGCCTGTTTTTCAGGACTTTGGATATAAATACTGGTATGATTGGAGGAAAAAATCTCATCTGTTTTATATATGATTGGCTATTGGGCACACTCTAGATCACAGATGGGGCACCTTTTTGGCTACAGCCACACATGCCCAACCACATATACACGATCCTCATCTTACACCACCTCAACCAGTGATCAAAAGCAGTGTTGCTGGGATGGAGATTATGAGAAATCATCAGTTTCCTACTTATCAGCTCAGCAGTGCGGGTGGGTAGTATATGCTCTATGGTTTCCTACATGCTCTAGAACTAGAGTGGATAACGTCTAGCAGTCAGGGTATAGACTTTATTTTTGGGGGGAAGGGGTCTCCCAGGGACCATTGGGCAAACTGAGTGGGATTATGGTATTATCAGAATTCAGGGCAAAAAATCTTGGATGTTTTGGGAGTTAAGATTTATTGTACCCACTGCAACATTTAAAATCCTTCAAAGCTCAAAGTTGCAATAAGGGCCAAATATAAAAAATGTTTTCTGGAACACAAGTGAAGTGTAGAGTGCAATTCACCAGTCGTACTCTAGAACCTTGCAAGAGAAACAGGGCCATGATCCCATTGGCTACATATGTCACGATACTCTGTTCTATGAATCCGATTCATTCAAAAGAATAAGCAATTAAGAAGGTGCTCCATTAAGGACAGCTTCTCCCACAGGAACCTTTCCCTGTGCTCACACAGGCCCTTCTTTGCACTCTACAGAAATGCAGCAGGCAAAAATGAGAGGCCTTTTTTTCAATAGCACAGTTCTGGAACTTTCTCTCAACAAATGTTCAGCTTGGCATCAGGTATGGTATTATTTCAATGGCTCTTTTTTGGGTAGGCATATTTGATAAGTGAAATTTCTGCTTATGCCAAAACATGTTTTACCTTAGCTTTTATTTGTCCTTTGCTATACAGCTAGTCCTCACTTACCAACTGCCTGTTTAGTGACTGGTTACGACAGGGTAAAAAAAACTTTGCAACTAATCCTCACATTTGCGACCATTGCAGTGTCCTGTGATCAAGTCATTGCCATTCAAGTGCTTCAAAACTGACTTCTGATAAGCAGAGTTAATGGAGAATGCGGAAATAAAATCACAAGTCGTGGTCACGTGATGTCTTGCTTAATGACCAAATGGAAAGTGACATCACAAGCCTATTATGGTCATGTGATTTTCCACTTACTGATCATGGCATTTAGTGAGAGTTGCCAATCCCAATTGTGGTCACTAAGCGAGAACTACCTGTACTGTATACAGAGCTACTTATTTATGTTTTTATTAATGAACTGTAACAATTATGCAATTTTGAAATATTTTTAATATACTGTGAGAATCCTTGAATTAATGACCAGGTTATTGAGTTACAGAGATAAATAAGTTACAGAGATAAATAAGTATTACTCTTGGTGATGGGCAGTTCTTTGTAACTAAGCACTATCACAAGTGAAGAAGACCTAATTAATAAACCATTGTGTTTAACTATGTTACCTCTGATCTAGTCACAGAATATGGAATCTCTATTCACATTTAGAAGTAGAGAAAGGGTTCACAACATTCACACAGAAGAGGCATGACCTACATTACATGCTCTAAAATGAAATCAAACACCAAATAGAGAACAAGTGACTGGATATTAGTACTAGGAGGATTTATCAACAAACACCTGGAGTTTCTGCAGAAACATTCACACAGAGTTCATTCAAAAGCAATTCAACATTTTATTCCAACATTTTAATCTATGCTTGATAGAGTAATGTTTGCAAATCTCTTTAATATTCAGTGGTAAGATTATATTAGAAAGTTACGCAGTTTAACTAAATAAGGGATGGGAAAATATAAGAATTACAATTTAGATATAGAAACTCATGACAGAACAGACAACTTTCAATAAATACTTAACTTGGTTTAGCTCCAAAGAAGCTGAAAGAGAAAATCTGGTAAGTTGACCTTGAGTGTCTTGGTTAGGAGAGAATCAAATAAAAATGTTGCGCGTACTGCTTAAATACAGTGGGGCAAAAAAGTCAGCCACCAATTGTGCAAGTTCTCCCACATAAAAAGATGAGAGAGGCCTGTAATTTTCATCATAGTATACCTCAACTATGAGAGACAAAATGGGGGGAAAAATCCAGATAATCACATTGTCTGATTTT